CCAACACAGGCCTCTAAATAAAAAAGAGCAAATAACATAAGAAACAAACAAATAAGCAAACCATCCAGAGAGATTGCCTTGCCATTTGGCATGGGCAGAATGAGAAAATCAGTCAGGAATGCAACAATGGGATGAGTTCCACTTTACATAAGGTCAGTGTGAGAAGCCCTATAGGACCATGTTAGGCTAGGAAGCAGGCAGAGACGGGGGTAGTCAAAAGAGCTAAGTCTTTCATATTTTGAATTCAAATTTTCACACTGCTAAAATTCTGAGTATTCTACATAACTATAAGAACTTCCATTCACTCCAACAAATCCACTCAGATTCCCATGTCTGTGCCTTCTCTGTGGTATTCATTCTGTCCAAGGAAAACAGTATTCATTCTCATTTAAATATTTATAATCAAGACTGAAACAGCATCAGTCTTGATAGCTTGATGTATCACCGAGACACCTGTTCCATTTCACTATAAGAGAGCTTTGAATACACCTGGAAATTTAGGGGGGCAGACAGGAAAATGAAGAAAAGTAGAATTTGCTTGCCAGTTGATCAACTTGACAGGTCCAAGACCCCTGTAGGGATGATTGGATCACAGGGCATAATACTAATCAGTGTGTTAATCCACTGACATGTTTAGCTGCATATGCAGTTGCAGGCTGCATGCCTCTGAGGCGTGCCTTTGGGGGGCATGTCTCTTTGGGCTGCCCCCTTAAGCTTGACTTCCTGGCTACTACAAGGTGAGCATCTTTTCTCCACTGCACTTTTCCTCCGTGATGCTTCTGCATTGGAGCCAGCTGCATGTGGCTAAAGCCCCTGAGACTGTGGACTGATGCAAACGTCACCTCTTTTGAGCAGTGTTAAGGTATTTTGTTCCAGCAATCAGAAAGGAGGAGAATCTGTCATAGACAGACATATCTGTCATTTCTTCCTACTCATTCTAGGTTGAAAATATGTCTGGAATTTACTCTTTTCATTTCCAAGGTCAATGTCCAAGGTCAGACCTTAATCCCTTATCTCAACTATTGCAAATGTAGTATACCTACCAGCCTTTCTCCTTACTAATTCAAGGAGAGAGGAGGAGAGATTTGAATCTCATGCTTAAAAATGCTAACCAATCCCTACTGCTTATTTTTACAGAAGAACTGAAAACCTCATACCACAATGATGTATGTGCACCCATGTTTATAGCAGGACAGTTTTTCCTAGATAAATCCTGGAAACAACTCAGATGCCCAACAACTTAAGAATGGTTAAAGAAGGTGTGGTATTTTTACATAATGGAGTATTATTCAGCTATGAAACAGGATAAATTTGAATCTTTTGTCAGTAAATAGAGGCAACTAGAGAGCATACTCTTAAGTGAAATAAGTCAGACCCACATATGCAAACAATGTATTGTCTCCTTAGTGTAAGAACCAGTTGAAAGAGAAAAAATGGAATCTGAAGGGTACAATAGATACTGGGAAAAGGGAATTAACTTATTCAAAATGAAATAGTCAAGGAGAAGGACAGCAGAGGGAGTAGGGGAAAGAAATTTATCTATGTGTATAAGTAGGATGGTTTGGATGACTGTACTGTGCATTTCTGCTGGTCTATGGAAAGAAACAGTTAATGGTTTAATCTGTTTCATCTTTTTTCAATTGTTTGTCCTTTTTCTCTAAATTTCTTATACATTTCCTTGGAAGACAACACTATGTACTACAACAAATACTGTGAAATTCATATTACTTCATTAGGTGAAATTCTGTATCACTTGTCATTTTTTCTCTTTTAATTCTAGTTTGTACTCTTAAAAAAAATGCTAACCAACCCACAGAGCCTCTGTCCTTTCAAATCACCCTAGATAAATCTTCAGTTGCTTTTTTTCCACTTTTAGCAATCCCAAACCATAGACAACCTGACATTTCTTCCTACTCATTCTAGGTTTAAAATATGTCTAGAATTTATTTGTTTCATTTCTAAGGTCAGTTCCCAAGGTCAGATCTTTATCCCTTATCTCAACTATTACAACTACAGCATACCCACCAGTCTTTCAAGGTTCATCTTAAACATCTTAACCAGTCTACTGTGCCTCTTTCTGCCTATCCAATCCATTGAAAACTACTGCATCCTTACAGAAAAGAATGACTGTATTTTCATTGTACTTTTCATTCTTTACTCTCCTACTAGTCCAGACACTCGATGGTATCCACTGGTTCCAGAAAAACTGCAAACTGCTTAGCTTACAACCAGACCATCCTTGTGGATCACAGTTTCCTTTAGCACAGTACGCCACCATTTTCTTCTTACAGGCCACTCACATGGAAAAATGGAATCTACTGGAACAGTCTTTACAATGCTGTACCTTTGTTCCATGAAATCATCTCTCTCTCTCTCATTTGTTTTTTGGCTCTACTTAAGAAATGCCTATCAGTCTTTTAAGTTTCCACTTAAACATCTCCTCCACCATGAAGTCTTTTATAATATTAAATCTACATTACACTTCAACTGTGCAGAGAACTTTCTTTATAGTTCTTTTTTTCTATGTATTTGGCTGTCTCATCTTTTACTAAACTTGGGGTATAAAATTCATTCTTAGTAGTGAGCACAGTGTATCATATTTCAGTATGAGTTTGTCTTTATTTTTCCTCAAGTCTCGTTCTCATATCCTCTGTATTTAGCAAAGCAAACAGCATTCAATACATGCTTGGTAAATATTTCTTGAATAAATAAATAACTTCCCAAGAGGCTGAATGTTATTTGAGGATAAGAATTGTACCATATTCATATATATATTTCTCACAGTGGCTAAAAAATCCCCTGAGTCACAGAAATTGCTACAGCTTGAATAAAATATTAGGTTTAAGACTCTGGCCTCCTGTGTTATTGAATCTGGCTAAACCTAGAACAATTTGTCATTTTTTCATTCCTAAAATATTTATTGAGTACCTCGTATATGCCAAACCTTATTTCAGGAGCTGGAGACAGAGTTTTAAATAAGATAAACCGCACATATGGTGCAGTGGAGGAAACAGCTGTACAAGCTAATAAATCAATCCTCCCTAGAAGTCATTCTTGACACCTAAGTAAGCTATGTTCTCCAACAAGCTTATAACAATGTGTCCTCTCCATACCTTACTTCAAGTGTTGTTAATAAAGTGAAGAATTACTACGACTGGATGAGCAGGAGGAAGTGGAGGACAATGAAGATCGCTGTATTTTCCTCCTCTTGTTTATTTAATTCAGTGCCATCTCCCAAAAGACCTCGTTATGCTGCTTTGGGGAACAAATGCAATTGCTCACCATTTTTCCATTTTCATGTTTTTCATCTGTAATGTAACCTCTCAGAACTGACAGAATGCTTATAGCTCTGCTAAAAGCCACAGTGGCTTTGTGCTGCAGACAGTGGGGCACTGTAGTGCACATGTTTTGGCTTCAGAGTCAAGGACTCATTTAAAATGTATTTCCAGTGCCTTCAGAATCATCTGCATTGTTCTTCTGAAAGCTCCAGACTGCCACCAAACTATCTTCTGATTCTGTATGGTTGGGTCTCTCCCTTGCTAGGTTCTCATTCATTTCATACAAATGCCACCTGTGTCTCAGAGCTGAATTCAAGAATTTTCAATTTTTCTTTATTTTTCCCTTTGGATAGTAAAGTACAATTTACATTGCAATTTTCCCTGTAAGCATACCTGTTTCTACTTCATAATTTAGTAGTTTTTTTCCAGAACCGGGGCTTGAACTCAGGTCCTTATGCTTGCCAGGGAAGTGCTTATTCCACTGAGCCATCTCCCCGGCCCTCATAATTTAGTTTTAGAAGATATATATCTATATCTATATCTATATCTATCAATATAATAGATATAGATATAGATATAATTTCAGTCCATAAATATTGCATTAAACATTTACTGCTTTTCTATTATCCCCAAGCAGCTAACTCATATCATATTCACAGTACAGTAAATGTTAAGTGAATTCTTGTTGAACGAAGGCAAACTCCCAGGCAAATTAGAGTACATCTGAGCTCCAACTAATCTTTTCCTAAATGAGTAAAAATCACCACTGATGAGACATATAAAAATGGTAACAAATTCTTGCATATCATATTTAAATATGTATGAAAATAAATGGATAGCATAGTAGAAACCTATATCAAATATTAAGAAAACTCATATGAAGTAATAAGGAAATTCTGATTCAATCTTGTCCATTTCAGTTCACAGATGAAGACATCATTTGAAAATACAAATTCATAAAGATACAAATATTAAGTTTATCAACTGGAAATATGTAGTGTTGAAATTTGCTAAAATAAAAATCATAGAAAAATTATTCTAACATTTAGTAATTTTGTAAAATTGTATAAAAGTTGGTGATTTTTTTTTCCTTTTCTAAGGAAAGGCTTTAGAAGATGATTGATGACTGCTATTAAATGACTATATTTATATTTCCTTACTTTAAAAGCTTTTCAAAAATATATTTGAAGCAGTTCCAGTTATACTAAATGGAAAGATAAAGGTGATTATTTATAGGCTATCATATTCATGATGATAGACTTGCAGAAAGCAAATGCAAACATAAATTTTAAAATCCTCTTGCAAAGAGTTGAGAATAAAAACATTTACATAATTTCTTAGAAACCCTAGCTTTTTATTACTGAATTTCAAGATTTCCTCCAGGCAAAGAAGCAGCTCCTTCAAAGATTTATTTGAGAGTGGAACGTTCGATTTCTTTGTTTTCCCATCCCAGCATGGATAGGTCTAGCGTTTTCATTCTACCGCAGTGTACTGGGTTTCAAAATTTGAATTGGATCACTACAGACAATTTTAAAAACATGGATCTGTTTGGAAGATTAAATAAATAAACCAACGTAGCAATAAATACACAGACATATATTACACAAAAGTTCTACACTGTTACAAAACAATTTATTCTGGTATCAGTCATTTTTGATAAAGGGCCTGTTACTCCGTAATGTAAGTACTGACTGATATGCAACGTCTAAAACTTCTACTTACCTGCCTATCCACTTCTGGGAGCAAAAGAAGGAGGTATTGCTGGAAATGCTGAGGTAAGGAAGCAAACGTATGTTTATTTATTAATGCCCTCAAGTTAGTGTTGACAAGAATAGATCCTGGGGTTTCTATGTCAATGTCCTCAGCTTTGGTCCATTTCAAGTGTCCTGTGATGAACAAGCAAGAGGTATGAGTTTACTAGAGTTAAAGGAAAATACACAGATACACACATACATGAATATGCATATCATGATCTCATATACTCAAAATATGCTTAATTGTATCTTTTTAACATATTTCAGAAGAGAAATCAGTAAAGCTCCTTCACTTATGTTTGTAACTAGCCTTAGTTATTTTCAGTTTCCTTAAGATATATTATTGTCAATATCTTCTACTTTTTTAACTCAGAGTAGAACCATGCCCTGACATAGAAGCAGTATAATAATGAAATTCTTATTAATCAGAATTTTCAAAAGCTTTAAAAGCTTAAATGCTGACAACTTCAATTTATATAAGTTCTGGAAGACTTATGATAAGTGATAACTATAACAACAGGACTATCAATTTTAATTTTGCAGTATTGGGGATCAAATGAGGGCCTTGTGCATGTCAGACAAGCACTCTACTGCTTATCTACCAGTTCATGCTACTGTGATTAATTTTAATGAACACAATGATAGTGACAGTAGTCACATATCTGCCTTGTTCCAAGCAGTGCACTGAACAGTTGATTATTTCAGATTATTCCTATTCAGGATAATTCTGAGAGTGATAATTTAAAAGTCAAATCTAGATAAAAATGTTACAAGGTCTGAAATGTAAATACGCTTTGAACAATGATTACGCAAGTCAAGGCACACTGGCATGAAACACAAGACTCTAAATTAGAGTTCACAATTCAAAATCATGACCAGCAAGGAAGCAATCTACCATAACAGCTTTCAACTGATACCCTGAAAAGAATTACTAGTCTTAGTTACTTGAGCTAAGACAACTGCTTGACTGTAATTATAAAGTGCATGTTTTAAATCAGGATTCAGCAAATTATATCCCATGAGTTATTGCTAGTACAATGACTGTTTTGGTAAATAAAATGCTGCTGGAACACCATAATGCCTAGTTTGTTTACATACTGTCTAGGACTGCTTTTACAGTACGACTCAGAATTGCAGAGTTGTAAGAAAAATTCAACGGCTGACAAAACCTACTGTGTTTACTCTCTGGCCCTCCACAAAAGAAGTCTTTGTTTCAAATAATTAAACACAAAGGAAGAAATACAAAAATAAGAAAAACAAGCACATTATGATAAAACAATACTCACATTTCAAACAGAACCAGATAGAAGGTGGATAGAGCAGAAAAAAGAATTACCGAGTAACTATGCTACAGAGATAAAGAAAAGAATCTAGAATGTGGGACAAAAACAGTAAGAATATGAGAAATATAGGGAATGTGAAAAATAGCCAGGGTATGTGCCTATAGGAGCTCCGGAATGAAAGGATGCAAAGAGGTAATAATTGAATAGTTAATGGTCAAAATATTTAATATAAGGGTTCTCAGATAAAGTAATACACTAAATCTTAAGATGGACAATATTCATTTCTCTATAAAAATCCAAAAGCAAAAAGAGGATATTTTAAAGTTGTTTCATTTTGAGCGAAGCATGGATGATCTCCACAGGAATGGCAATGACATGGACACAAAATATCAGTAAAATAACAGATAGGAGGGGCATTTCTGCAAAGAGCCAAAAGAAAATAAATGGTAACTCTGAAAGTCACTTGTAACTAAGGCTCTCAAAACTGGCAATGACAAGGTTCCAAAATTGAAATTATATTCCTTGGAGAATCTTGCTGAAATAAACAATGGTAGGTTTTTCTAGTAAATCAATTCTGTCAAGGAAGCAACAACAGGGTACAAGAAGCAATGATAAATTGAAAGACTAATAGCCATGAAGTGTTCTAAACAGACACTGACTGTAAAAATGATACTATGGAAGTGGGAGCTAGAGTGGAAACCAAATCCTTAATCATAATCATATGCAAAATGGGATGAGGGGATAGAAATGAAATCATTAGAAACCCTTGGCAAGGAGAGCAAGAGACACATGCACTAAGATATTTTATTTTGTTAAAATTTTATAGAAGAACAGGAAAAGAATTGATTTTCACAGAAATAGATGGAAGAAAAATCTAATCAAATGACAAGTTTGAAGGAGAAAAGTAAAATAAAATTGTTTTATAGAAAAGATAAAAATTAGAAGAGAAATACCAGACCCTAAAACAAACAAAAAAAAGTGATAACACGGCATTAACATCAGAGAAGATAAACAAATGTAAAAACACTCCTGGTGATGAGCATGTGGGTTCCTTAAATGTGCAAGAAATGATTCAGCAAAATGTACAATGGTTATGAGCCTGCATTCTTTTACATAGTATTTAAAAGTAACAGAAAACTTTAAAAAATGTCATCGCAATCCTAGAATGAGATCTCTATATACATTATAAAAAATAAAAAGACCAGATTATAAACTATTTTAAGATTGCAGAAATTTTACCAGTCCAAAAATCACTCTTAAACCAAAAAAAATTAATATATGGCAATGTACTGAGTCATTACACACACACACACACACACACACACACACACACACACACACGCACACATTATCTCATTAGTGTAAGAACCTGAAAAAGTAAATAAAATCTGAAAGTTACAATAGATATTGTAAAAGGGAAAGAATCTGCTCAAAGGGAAGGAGCAACTAGAATGAGAAAAAAGACGAAAGAAAGAAAGAAGGGAAAAGTTATATTTATATATCTATATAGAACAGCTTGGATACACTGTACTGTTGATTTCTGCCAGTCTATTGAAAGGAACAGTTAATGCTTAAATTTTCCCTTTTTTAATGTTTTATAACTTTTTCTGACCAAGTGTGCATGCTTACATCTGGTAATCTGAACAACTATTTTGAAGACAACAATATGCAATATACCAATCAAGAATTCGTATTATTTTGTTTGGTGAAATTCTGTATCATTTCTAATGTGTATTTTTTAAAACACTATTCTTTATTCTTTTTAAATTTTTTTGAAGAAATTAATCAACTGTAAGAAAAAGTAGGGGCTGAGGATATAGCTCAGTGGCACAGCACCTGTCTGGAAAGCATGGGGTCCTGAGTTCAATTCCCAGTACCAAAGAAATTAAATAAATACATATTTAATTTTTTAAAAGTCTTTTATTTATTTTTTATTTGGTACTGGGTCTCACTACACTTGGACTCATAATGATCCTCCTGTTTGAGCCTCCCCACCTTTGGGATTACAGGAGTGCACCACCATGCCCAGTTTCAGTAGCCAGCACAGTAAGCCTGGGGTACAAGGGTCAGCATGGCATGCAGTACTAGGAAATGAACCTGGGCCCTTGCACTTTCCAGGCAGGCACTTAGCCCACCGAGCTATCTACCCAGCCCATTAAATTTAAATTTTTGAAAAGCAACTTTTTTCAGAAGTCAGGAAATAGAAAGGAAATATAAATCACTCATTACTGAGTCTCAACAATGAAAAATCACAAAACTTCATATCTCTGTTTAAAGAAAAACAGGTATAAAAACACAGAGACAGTGATTCTTAAGTGCCCCTCCCCACCACATGTACTATATAACATTCAAAACATATATTTGAGTAACTCATAAATTAGAAACAGGTTTTTTGGGGGAGTGGGCACAGCTCAGCCCTCCCTGGGGGCGGGGTTGGCACTGCACATGGTGCCAAGATCTAACTAACCTGTGGTCCCTGGGCTTGGGTAAGATTGCCTATGCAGTCGCTTTAGTCTGCTGAGCTATCTCGTAGGCCCTAGAGAAAGCATTTTTGTCTGTTGCTTATGTTTTGTTTTGTTTTGGTTTGAGGCAGGGTGTCTTTATGCAGCACAGGCTGGCTCTGAAATCACTCCCAGCCCAGGCTGGCATTCAACTCTGGGCATTCCTCTTGCCTTCGCCTCCCAACTGCCGGGTCAGGAGTGGTGACCACCACACTGCTGGATATAAGGTTTTCATGGAAATTTAAGGTACAATATCACCATTTGTGAAATACTGCCCAAATTGTTTTAAAGGTAAATTGTAAATACTGTAAAGTACAAAAGAAAAAAAAAAAAGAGGTTAAGTAGTCAAATCATAAAGATATTAAATCAAAGAATAAAGCCTTAAGAAAGAAGGGAAATCTGTCAGAGCGGAGATTCATGAAATAGAAAAGAAAAATGAGGATCATTAATAATAAAAATGTTCCTGTTCACTTATTTTGTTTTGTTTGAAGCAAAGTCTTGCTAAGTCCCTGCGCTGCTCATGCTGGGCGAACTCGCAATCCCCTGCATCAGCCTCTCGGTGCTGGAATACAATCACGTACCACCACAAAGGCTGTTTTGTTGTTACACTAATAAT